TTTTCTTGTAAAACAAAGGGGGGCCTAGCAAAAAACGTTTGGGAACCACTGACCCTACTTACACTGACGGGAGACTATCAAAGTAAAACAGGAAGTGCACAGAGACGCAGACTGGAGAGGGAGAGAGACAGAGGGAGGACGAGGGAGAGCACAGACGTGTCGGGCTGGGGAAACGTGGAATAAAACACGAGGGGAAACAAGAACTCACAGATACACAGAGGGAGACGCAGGGGGTAAAGACACGAGGGGAAATAACAGACTGATCAAAAATGCATGAAAATTCAAAACACTGGTAATTAATACAAATGTCAAAATGTAGCTTTTTTTTTTGTAAGACATTAAAAAAATGACCTATTTACACACAAAAACCAAATATTCACGTACAGAAACATAAAATTATCCTCTCTCCTGAATTCATGTTGCAACCTCAAGCTACTGTTGTGGCAGTCTTTTATGGCTCCACCAAAGGCCTACCCACATATCAGCAGTAACAGGCAAGCAGGAAATGATGAAAAAGATTTATCATTTAAAAAAAAAAAAGGTAATGTCTCATTAACACATCCCATTTGGCCTGCATGATAATATTTTTTAAGTTTTAATGGCTCTTGATTATTTATGTTGCACTATTGAGAATATTTTTACTTTAATTAAAGTAGAATCTATTCAAGAAAATGTGAAAAAGGTGCCGTGTGTCATTTTATAACACTCTACAATATTAAGATAAAGCTCTATACTAAGCTTTGTACAGATAAAACTAAGTGTAGAGTTTTATTTAGGGCGTTAAACTGATTGTGGCAGTGTGTTATAAAACTGTAAGCACAAACTATAGAAAATACCTGAGGATTTCATGTCAGCAAGGCAAGAGGTACGGACATAGATAATCATATAGCAAGTAGGAATAATTATCCCAAGTGAAACTAACATCCTGTACTTGAGGAGGGAGACATGATTGCTGGCTTCAGTCCTTTAAAAACCATAAGCTGCAAGTTTTGAAAGGCTGCTTCACTGATCCAGGGTCATCTCCATGTGCTGTTAAAGAGCCATAACTCACCATCGGTTATTTCACGTTTATTCCCCACTGTCTGTTTCTAAAAACGCTCGGACCATCAAGGGACGTGGAAAAGTCAGATCTTTCCGAGGAGCTGCATAACAGCGATGGTGGTGCTCTGGCCAAATATGAAGGCTCCACAGATGAGCGTCACCACCCCCCAAACCGTGAAGATGACTCTGGAGGACAACAAGTGGTACCAAGTGGTCAACAAATGATGGGACTTACTTTCAGTAACATCCTTCAACCCAATCTTAACTCACTCAATGAAACAGATGGTGCAGCAGCACTGAATTTAGTCTGACCTTTACTCGTGGCACTAAATAAACCAATCATCACGTTTCATTTTACCCTTTTTGTCTTGCTTTACTTGCAGACTGTGCCGTAGGTTGTACTGTTTCTTATGATGCTACAGTGCAAGTGAGAGAAAAATTAGGAGTCAACTAATGGTTCTGTAGCCCTTAGAGTTTTGCCAACTTACCGCACCATTATTAACAGAGCGAGGTCATTAAAATTAACAAAAAATCTGAAAATGTTTCTCTAAA